ATTAGTATTATGTGCTAGGTTAATTTTTTTTAAACATTTTTTAAAAACTGTAAAAAATTAATTGACCCAAAAATTATCTAATTATATAAATCTTTATAATTTTATTTATTTATTATAAGTAATAAAAAACGCTTTTGAAATGCATGTATAATATGGCTCTCTCTCTCTCCGAGAGGAGAGAGAGAGAGAGAGAGAGTATGAGAGAGTAATACAGAGACATAGATATACAGAAAGTTCATATACAGTGTCCATTAGATACAGATTTTTAGGTTTTTTTTGTTCATTAAATTAGTTTTTTTTGTTTCATCAATAAAGACAAAGTAGTAATTATGATATCAACACAAAAAAATGGTTTTATTTTTATTTATTAATCAAATAAAAGAAAATACTGATTACAATCATTCATTATATATAGTCATAAATAAACTTTATATTAGCATTAGTTATATATATATATTGCTTAAAAAAAAATATTTCATTAGTTAAAAAGTTATTATAATTTTTGTTAAAATATAATTTTTTTCGAGAGAGAGAGAGAGATAGTACAAACAAATTTCAATTATACATAATATATGGGTTATTAATATAACAAATTGTTGTCTAAAAAAAAACATTTTTAAATGATTTTTTTGTTGTTGAAAATGAATGAATGAATGCAAGACTATAACGGACACCAACACAGTGTCGGGACAGTCGGTCCCTAAAAAAAAAAAAATACAGATGAGATACATAAGCAATTGTTTCATAACTCATAGTATGATAATAATCGGGTAGTCGTGTCCTCCCAAGTGATTCTCAACAACAAAAAAAAATTACCGAAAAAAATATCGATCGGATCTAAAAAACACGAGTCCAACGGTGTGTCCATACAGTCGATGGCGCCGTCGGCTTACGTATGTCTTCAGAGACATCCAGTCATCGACGGTATGCTTGAAATGAAAATCCATTTCTATCTCAAGTTATCAACAATTTTGTCTGTAATTCGTAAATAATATCAACAAAAATTAAATTATAATTATTTTAAAATAATAAAACCGAACCATTATTTTTGGTTTCAATTGAAGAGTTGATGTGAAAAATATTTGTCTAATTTTTTTTTAGACAAAAATAAATTTTTACATTTTTTTTTTTTTGAGTTTCTTTTATAAGAAAATTAATTAATATTAATTAAATTTAAATTTAATAATTACTGTAAAATTGTTGACCAAATGTATGGATCAATGATTGCAATAAAACTTTGAAAGTAGTTTTGACTGACCTCTGGTTCTTACCGTTGGAAATGATTTCCCGGACAACAACTTCCGGAAAAACGTTTCGGGAAATTATTAGTTGGATTCAAATTGGGTTTAAATTTGAAACTTTAATTAAATAAAAACAAAAAATTAAATAATAAAAAAACAAATTGCACTCATTGTGTGTTTGATATCTTATTATAAATTATTTTTTTTTGTTGATAATAATTTTTGCAATAATTTTAATAAAATATTAATAGTTTTATTTTTTGAATTAATTGAACTCAAATTAATTAAATTAAATATATAATTACTGAAAAATTGTTGACCAATTGTATCGATCAATTGCAATGAAACTTTTGAGTATAGTTTTGAGTGACCAACACTTCGGGAAAACATTTCGGGAAATTATTAATTGGATTCAAATTGGGTTTGAATTGTAAACTTTAATTAAATAAAAACAAAAATAATAAAAACAAATTGTACTCATCGTGTGTTTGATATCATATTATAACTTTAGTAATAGTTTTAAATAAAATATTAATAGTTTTTTTTTATGTTTTGAATAAATGTTTTATAATTAACAACAGTATTGAACTAATCTACTAATTGTATTAAAAATTATTGGATATATTTTTTGTTGTTGTTAGGGAATGGGATGTAATGGGAGAGAGAGAGAGAGAGAGAGGAGTATATACCTAACAATTTCCAGGTATACCGTCTCTACTATCCATCCATACGAACCAATTTGCGGCAAATACTTGACCCGAACTGCCCATCGATAAGACAACTATCGACGCAATGATTACTATTACATCTAAAAACAAACAAAAAGAGATTACATTTAATTTAAAAAATTTTATTTTTGTTATTTAAAAATAATGATATTTATTATTAATATCTAGTAATATATGTTATATTAATTGATTATTTTGACTCCATCTTTAAATCTCATTAAATATACATTAAATGTATTGATTTTTATGTATATTTTAAATACAAAACTAAAATTTTTAAATTAATTTTGTTGTTTGAATAAAACTAGTATACATTTTAGTAATATAATAATAAAAATATGTATATAATATTTCAACTATGTATAATATAGTGTACAAATAAATAATTTAATTTATTTTTTTTATAGTAATTAGTAGATTATTAAATAGCAAAATTAATATATATATATATATATAAACTAATAATGTTTTAAATAAGTTTGATGGGTGACTATTAACAATATATATATATATATATATTAATAACTTATTACTAATAATATATATATAAATGAGTCAAAGTTAGCATGTATAGTTTATTTTATTAGTAATTTTAAAAAAAATAAAAATTGTAAATAAATTACAATTAAAACTAATGAGTTTATTGTTTTTAGTAATTTATTTAACTAAATAATTAATATATAAAACTTTTTTTTTTAAATAAATAACTATAAGTTTAGTAACTATTTTGTAGTTTTAAAATTAAGTAATTGTTTTTTAATTATAATTGTTTTTTTTAAAAAAAATGTAAAATAAACTAAATTATTTATAAGATTATTAAATTGCTTTTAATACATATATAATATATATATAACAAAATGTAATTTTTTTTTTATTATTACCAATTATTTATTCAATATTTATAAATTAATATCAATTACATAGGATTTATTATTATTATTATTATTTTGCGAATGTGCGCAACGTAAATCAATAAATATTAAAAAAATTTTAATTTACAATAATTAGTTTAAAACAAATTAGTTTTATCGATAATTAAAAAAAAAAGATTTTTTTAATTATTAATTATTAATTTTTTTATTGTGTTTAAAATTATTAATTTATTTAGTTAACATTTGATGAGATCACTAATTATTATTATTATTATTATTATTATTAGTATTTATTTATTAATCTTTATTATTAATAGATCTAAAAAATATATTTAAAAACGAAATATATCTTAAATTTTTTTTAAAATAGTAAAAATCGATTTTTTTTGTTTATTATATATTTTATTCAATAATAATAATAATAATGATTTTTTGTTTGTTAAAATAAATCTTAACAAAATATATTGCATGTATACAGTAGTCACTGTATATATATATATATATATTTATTTATACCTGTATATAATTATGTATAAAATTTGGGATTACAGTATTTATTAATTTATATATATATTATATATATATATATATTAAAATTTAAATATGTATATAAATACTGTATCATCAATAGCTGTAAGGTCTAACTACAATAATAATAATAATAATTACAATTAATTATTTTTTTAAAAAATACAGTGTTTTACAAATTATAGACATAATAATAATTAGGGATAAATTTATAGATAGATATTTAAATGATTTAAACTTATTTTTTTTTTTAAATAATTAATAATAAAATGGTTATAATTTTTTTTTATTATTATTGTTTAATATTATGTCAAATTAATTTATAAAACACTATATCATTAGTCAATATATTTAAAGGCAATATTGTTAGGATTTAACAATTATATAATTTACAATATATTGTAGATTGTAAAATATTAACTGTATTAAAATAACAATATAAAAAAACAAAATTTATCAATTATAATTACACATATTAAACAAATAATAATAATAATAATAGTTTAAATTGTTTATAATATATATATATATCTAATAATATGTATATAATGTGATAAATTTTCATTATCTAAAATTTCCATATTTTTTGTTGTTTTATTATTATTATTATTATTATTCAAAAAACTAAACAATTTAATAACAAAATTGTGTATTTATTTATTCAATATTAAACCAATTTTTTTTTTAAAACTTAACTTAGCTATTACTAATTTATTTTTAAAAATCATTTAATTATTTATGCAACTTTAATATATATATTTTTATTTTTATAAAATAAAACTTAATAATAATAATAATCTAGTGTTATATATATATATATATTTATTTAAAAAATATAGTTATCGTTATTATTATTATTATTTTTAACCATCACACTAATATGAACTAGTACCATTTTTTTCTATTTGATTTTATCGGTATATTTTTTTTTATTGCACTTTAAGGTAATAATAATAATAATAGTAATTATAATTAGTTAAAAATAAAAAATAGCTGTAATAATCAAGTTTTTAAATTTATATATATATATATTTATATACTGGATATTTAATTTCATGTGACCTATCAAATCAATAATTAATTAAATTATTTTTTTTATTAACAAAAAACTAGTAATCAATTTGATATATTATTACTTTATATACTGTAATTTAAAACAAACAAAAATTATAACTATAATTAATAAAATTAATGAATTATCAGAAATTTTGATAACTTTTTCAATTTAACCTAAAATATAGATTCAATATATCTATTAATAATTTGATTAATTTAACTAATTTATACTTCATTTAAAATTTTAATTATATGTATAATACTATAATTATTATTATTATTATTATTAAGTAAACGATTCATTAATTAGTATTAATTACTAAATGTTTAATTATACAAATTACTGTATAAAATAATTATATTTAAAAAAATTATTAACAGATAAATGTATAAATAAGATCTATAATATTATTATTATTTAATTAAGTTATAAACAATTACTAAACAGTAGTTTTTAATAACTATTAAATTTTAGTTTCTCATCAAAAAAAAAAAAAAAAATTTTTATAATAATTATGTTTATCGATAACAGTCTAAAAAAACTTTTATTAACAAAATTTTTTTTGTTGTTTTAGCTATAAATTATCGGTCGTTGAATGTGTAGTAGTGTTTCCCGTTGTCGTTGTCGATGGTAATGACTTGTACTGATGATGATGATGATGATGGACCTGATGTGAATGATGATGACCATGGTGTGGATGGTGATGATATTTAGGATGCAATTTACTACTACCGCCACCACCACTACTACTACTACTATCTATTAGCATCATCGTAGACGATGGTTGCGGTGATGTCGTTGTTGTTGGTGGTGGTGGTGTTGTTGATGATGATAGAGGACTTGTTTGGGCCATCATATTAGACAATGGACTAATACTACTACCGCTGCTGCTGCCGTGACTCAACAATGATTGTGTTTCGGCGGCCACTTGAATGACGGTAGTCTGGCTGAGGTCGCAATCGGATTCGTTGCCGCCGCCGGTAGTGGTAGTCGTAGTGGTATCAGTCATCAGTTCGGGTATGAGTAGCCGATCAAACTGATCCCGCATAGCGACAATTGCTGAGTAACTACTACTTTCTTGTTGTTGTTGTTGGCCATTACTACTCTTGCGGCTGACCTGTGTTGTTGTTGTTGTCGGCTGATCGTCGATAAAGTCCAGATCAGATGATTGAGACAAATCCCTGTCCATTGAAACCAATTCGTCGCTAACACAGAGCGACTCGAGCTCTGTCGGTAATGTACTCGAGTCGGACATCAGTTCGGACATCATTTCCGGCTCATAGCAGGACTCGCCGCCCGATGACGACAACAGTGTCATACGGGAACTGTTCGGCTCAAACATCGGCGACATTTGATGAATTTCGTTCAGTAGTATATCGGTTTCAAGTTTGATGGCCGGCGCCGACGCTGTGGCCGACGATAACATAATGCCGCCAATAATGGATGAATCACTTCTGGCTGTTCGCTGTATTTCGTTGGCTGTCCGCTGAGTGCCGGCACTCGAGCACCGATTAGAGTTACCGGCGGCGGTTGTCGTCGTCTCCAACGAATGTCTTAGTTGAACCCGTTTCTTGAAAAACCGTTGACTCAGATCGGAGTTTCCTCTTTGAAACTGTTGTCGAGTACTGTCGCCGACACACCGGCCGACCGGTGTATTGGGTTCAGAGTATTGTTTGTTGTCGCTGTCGGCGGCGGCGGCGGCCGCCGCCATCAATGGCTTTGGCTTTGCCATTGTTACCGCTGCTGCCGCTGCCGCTGCTGATGAAGACGATATTGTGTTGTTGTTGTTGGCAAATGGAGATAATGAGCCGTTTGACTGATAGGGTGTCATCAGTACTGGAGTACTGGGAGGCGGAGGTGGCGGACCTCCTCCTCCACCAGTGGATTGTTGTAGCGAATGATTGGCAATAGACGATGACGTCAATAGTGTTGTCCCGGTCTGATGATATCCCGGCGGATAATAGCCGGGAACTGTTGTTCCCGTTGTTGGTGTTGTTGGCATATGTTGTCCACCGGCACCGGCAGCTGCTCCGCCACCACAACCAGATAACAGTGTAGCCGACATACGTGTCCTGTCCTCTAAATACATTTCCATTAACTGGTCGATCTTGTTTTCAATGTCTTCGACCTATTAATTAATTAATTAATTGTTAATTAATTTTATAATAATTACCGATATTTTTACCGATCAATAATTACTTACAGCTCTCTCTACTTTGACTATTCTTGAGGCAACACTTATCTTGGATTCGTAGACATCCTTGGCTTTTGAGCCTACCTTTCCTAGTATGACATCCAATCTAATCCAATCAGAATCATCCGATGAGATGGTAGGGTAGGATAGGGTTGGGTATGATAATCAAAAATAAACAATTATTTAGTCAATTTGTTTAGTCAAATATTATATAATAATAATGTATATATATTTATACAGTTTATGCCAAATAAAAAGTTTAAATTTAAGTAATATTATATATAAATGTTTTTTAGCAAGGTACTTTATAATAACTTATCTAAATATTAGTATACTAAGTTACCTTGCTTAGCGTAAAAATTGACTGTACACAATATTAATAAAAATTTTAAACTATTAATTTGCATTATCTATATATATGAATAGCATATTAAAATTTTTTAATTGTAATTTTTTAATCTATATATTTTTAAATTTTTTTAAATTTTTTTTTCAAAAATGTACCTAGCTTGTACATTTTTGACACGTGCTAACAGATCCACGTGTCCGGCACTGTACTGTTCAATGACATCCTTGACGTCGTAGGGTTTGAGCGCTTCCTTAAATTTTCTTCGGGCGACAAAATATTTTATCTGAAAAAAAATAATAAATTTAATTTAATTAAATTAAATTAAATTAATTACAAAAAAAATTAGATTTAATAAAAATAAAATATCTATTTATTTTGAAAATAAAATATTTTAAAAAAACAAAAATACTTTTCTTAAAGATCTGATGGCATTCTTGTGTTGTTTTGTCAAAACTGTTAGTTTTGGTTCTTCTGGTTCGTCATCTAATCCGATTGATTTGAATAATTAATTTTAAATTAATTAATTAAATTAATTAATTTAATTAAAACTAAATAATTAGTTTAATTTTTTACAATAAATATAAAATAATAGTGATATTATGATGATTGTGTTTATTATGGGTTTTTTTTTTATAATAAAATTATTATATATATATATATAATTTAAATCAATATCTAACTCTAATTTTAATAATATTTTTATCAGTAATAATAATAATAATAATAATTCAAACTTTTAATTAAATTTTGCGGTGTTTTATAATTTAATCTAATTTTTAAATATAAATATATATATATTGTATAATACAGGGGAAAAAATAAATAAAATAAATTGAATATTAAATTGAATATTTAACAAAAAATATCTAATTTATATTATAAGACATCAAATATTTAATAACAAAAATAAGTTAAATTACTTCAAAATTTTTTTATTATTTGTAATTTTTAAAAAAAAGTTTCAAATGATTGCAAAATCCAATGATACAAATGTAACATATATTTGATGAGTAAATATTTATTGTCTATGTTTTTATTTTATACACACATTGCACGTTATCTATCAAAATTAAATACAACAAAAAAATATATATAATATATAAAGTATTATTTGATATAAGTTTCAAAAAATAAAGTCTAATATTTAATTTTGTTGGAAATAAAACTCCCAATAGATTTCTAGATACAAAAAAAATACTAAAAATAAAAATTTTAATTTTTTAAAATAAAAGATTATTATTATTATTATGTTCTAATAATAACTTGTTTTATAAAATTTTATATATTATATAATTTTAGTTTTTTATAAACCATAATAAACACAAACACATATTTTTTTGAATGGCATTTAAAAATATATTAATATAAATGATTATATGATAAAGCAAATAATAATAATAATAATAATTACTATATATATATGAATATAATTATTAAATAAATAGTGTTAGTGCTAAATGTGTATAATAATAATAGTAAAAATAATTGTATAATAATAATAATAAAAAGCCAAAAAATTGCAATAATGTAATAAATTTTAATAACTATAAAATTGTTTTATATTATAATATATATTACGTATTAAAATTAAAATTAGTATTAATGTAAATATTTGAATATCAAAGTATTAAAAAAATAGTTGTTATATAATAAAAGCATAGAATTTATTATTTTAAAATTATTTTTGTATTATATATCATAATATCTAATGTAAATTAATATAAATTAATAGTATAATAATAATAAATTAAATTAATAATAAAATAATAATAAAATTAAATTAATAAAATAAATAAAATTAATAATAATAATAAAAATAATAGTAAAACAATAATATGTAAATTAAAATTACGTAAGTTTTTTTATAAATAGAAATTATATGTTAAATATATAATATACTATAGTAATCATATAAAGTATATTATTTTGTAAAATATATTTTAAAAAATTATTAACAAAATTGTATATTTTGTCAAAAATTAATTACCAAAAAAAATCATTTTAAAAACTCTAAATACAGTATATATTGTATTAACTAATTATTATTTTATATTCAAAAAAAAATCCTTAATTGTATAATAATTATTATATTTTATTTATTTGCATAATTATTTCAAAATTTTTCAATTATACTAATAATAATATTAAATATATGAGTAATAGTAAAGTCCCTACAAATTGTATTACATTAAAAACATATGCATAATTTACATAAATTTTTACTTTATATATATAATTAAATATATACAGTATATAATATTTAAAAAAAACAATTGCAATCATAAATTTAATTGCTTTAATAGTAATATATTTTTTTATTATAAACAAAACAAAAAATTATTCCGCATTTATGGTTAAATTAATTAATTTAAATAGTATTATAAAATCTATCATTTTTTTCTGGGAAAACAATTAGATCTCTCTTTTTTCTCAATTAATTTCAATATTAAAACATATTTCAAAAAATAGTTTTATTAATATATTAATATTAAAAAAAATTCAATTAATAATAACCAAAAATTGCTACTACTAAATATATATATATATATATAAATTTTTATTAATTTATGTCACTAAATATGTTAAATATTTTTATTATTAAAATCCACTGTATTATAGATTAACTAAAAAATATATTGATTATCCAAATATTTGAAATATTTTTCGACTTAAAAAAAATATTTGTTATTTTATCCTCTAATTTATTGCTTTAATTATATTTTGTTTAAATATATAAAAATATTTGCATTAATTTACAATCAAGTATTATATATAATACACTACTATTTATTTTTTTACTAAATTGTTATTTTGTACATAATATAAACATAATTAAACATTAATTACAATTTAATATTAATAATAATTTTGTTAAAAGTATTTAAAAAATTTAAGCAAACATTAAATTAATTGATATCAATTTTTAAGGCTAAAACTAAATTAAAAAATTTTGAAAATAGATTTAAATTATTAATTAATAAACACACATAAAAATATTTTAATAGAAAATTATAACTAATAGTTAAATATTAATATATAAATTTTTTTATAAAAGTTAATAATAAGAGTATACATATAGTTTTATGACTACAAACACATTGTAATTATAAAATTGAATAACAATTGCATAATATTATTATTAATACCGTATAATTGGATAATGAAAATAATTTATCTAAAAGTGATAATTTTTTTAAGCAGTTTTTTTGTAAGCAAAAAAATTAATATTTTTTTTTAATAATAATAATAATATGAAATACACATTACAAATAATATATATATATATATATATTGAATTTAAATTGACGTTTTTTCATAGATATACCGCATATTATAATATGAAAAATAAAATATTTTTTTAAAAAAAATTAAATTATAATTTGCATAAATTGTATGTACGATCAACAACAAAAAATAAATTGTTTAGTAAATTGCATTTTAAGTGATATTTTAAATAATGCGTGTATTTGTGTGCCAATCGTTTTTATAGTTATTATAGTCTATTGACATTCAATTATTATTATTATTATTGAAATTATTTGGAAATTTTTTTCAACAAAAAAATAAATAATTGAATTGAAATTTAAGCATAAATTTTCTGTGATTATGTTTAACAACACACATATATATATATTTAAAAAAAAAATAAATTATATAATTGAAAGTCCTTACCGACAGTAGTACTGATAGTAATATCATTATCTTTAAGACCCATATGTGTCGGTAAAAATGGCAAAAAAGAGGAGGCCATACATATTAGGCTACCTCGACGTGAGGTACGGTTAGACACTAATTGATAATTATATATATATTTTTTAAATATACTGTATATCTAATAACATAACACATCAACACACAACAACAATAATAACAATTTAAAAAAATTATTTTTCATATTTTTATTTTAGCTAGCGTATCATTAAAAAAATTTTTAGCATCATCATCATTATTATTTTAGTTTCAATACAAAAGCGTGAGTACAAGTAATTATTGATATGTGTGTGTGTGTGTGTGTGTGTGTGTGTGTGTGTGGGTGGAGGAGGGGGGTTGAATACAAACTGTATATAATTTAGTATTTTAATATATATATAAATAGTTTACGACAATTCAAATTAGTTTAACTCAAATTTTCGGTTCCGATTCCCGGGAAAAAAAATTAATAGTTTTATTAATTTTTAATTTATTGTATATTTTTTTTAATGATTGCAATTGTTATATATATATATATATATAGTCAATATTGACCGAGGGTGAAAAAAAATCACAATAACCATCATAGTAATTTAACATGCTACTTTATTTTTTATTAATTTTATTGTAATAGATTTATTTAAATAAAAAAATTATTGATGCCATAAATCTTTTTTTTAAAAAAAATTACTATAAAAACTAAATGATAATAAAATAATAGTAATAATTAAAGAATATTCTATAGAAATATGTAAATTTATTTTTTTTTTAAATTTATAATGTTTACTGTCTATTGAGTAGACAATGTTATTGAAAAATTAAAATATATGTATATTTTTAGATTATATCACATATATTTAATAGTTTATATTTATATAACTATTTGACATTTATAATAAAATGTTAAAATAATAATAATAATAATAATAGTACAGTACATTCAACTGTAATCACTAGACAGTAAACAGTAGATGAATAACAAAAAAAATAATAGTATAAATATTAATAGTAATAGATATATATATTATGTTTTTTTTAATTAATTAATTATTAATTAATAATTAAGTTCTAGACAAACATATAATATTATAATACATTTGTAAATAATTGAGACACACATACACAATATATATACAGTAATAATAATTATTATTATTATTAGTTAGTTTATATAAATTTATTATACTGTATTATATTGTATGTATAAATAGGTATATAAAAAATTTATATATAAAAGAAAATTAATGATAATACACTACTAGTATTAAAATAAAACATTTATTATACATTGAGAAAAGATACTAGCTTAAATTTTATTATGCTAATAAAAACGTATAAAAAAAAATTTAATCTAGAAAAATACTTATTTTTTTTATTATTTACTACTAATCTAAAATAACTACAAAATATAGTAGTATTATACTGTCTAAAAAAATCTATTGCCTAATATAATAATAATTTGTTATACACTATTAATGTTTCATTGTAGATTATGGTTGGATCATAATAAAATATATATTAAGTATATATATATATATATAATATATATATACACTGTATATATACTGTATATATTTAGAAATAGGTGCTAAAAATAATTGAACACAGCTTGAGATACATTTAAGTGGAAAGCCATGATTTTATTTGCTATATATATTAATATATACTGTATATATATGTATGTCTATATATATATATATATATATATATATATATATATATGTAATGGACAAGTAGGTTATTCAACATGATTATCATCATCAATAAATTTGATGCTTTTTAATACAATTAATTTATCAATGATGATAATAATAATAATAATAGTTATTTAACATAGTATCTATGAAATGTTATGTAAAGCGTTAAATTATTTTAACCAATATATAGTCTACAGTATATATTATTTATATTATTATAAATATATATATATATATATACAAATATTATATAATATTATTGTATATAATGTATAGACTATACGATATATGACATATACTTTATATATATATATATWKATATATAATACATTAGTATAAAAGCATTTAAGCAAAAATAACTAAATACCAAGTTTTCCCAAATGCTTATATACTGTATATAAATATATATATATATATATATATACTGTATATATATATATATATATATAAAGATATTTTCCGATACAACCAACAACAACACAACATAAAAAAATTGAAGTGATTTTATTAGATAAAAAAATATATATATATTTTTCATCTTAAATGGTATGTATGGCTAATATATCTTTATGTAAGTATATATTTATAAATTATTAAACAAACAAAACAAAACAATAGACAATATATTATTATGAATGATAAAATAGATGATGATATAATAATAATAATAATAATAATAATAAAAACAACATCAATGGCATAATGTTTTTTTTTATAAAAAACAAATTGTGTGCAATATATGTGAGATATATAAAAAAAAAAATTAAATAATCATAATGTGATATAATAATGATTTGTGTGATTGCATATTATTAGAGTATTATTATTATTATTATTATTAAGTGATTGCATATATATATTATATTTTTTTTGAATATATAAATATTTTTTTTTGGTGCAATTTGTTTTTTTTTGCAATGATTTGATGTGATTTTTATTTATTTATTGATTTATATTTTTTTATTTATTATTATTATTTAGGCAAACCTGTTGTCGATAGTGTAGGAAAATCAATGGCAGATCTGAATGCAGGTGACAGCGCCAGAAATGGCGGATGATTGCAATCACGTCTCAACATATTGCACAATACCAATGGTATACCACCATCCAGGTCTTTTTTTATGGATCAATTGAAAACAAATAAACATTGAAAAAAACTACCGGTTCTCTAGTGTGTGTGTGTGTGTGTGTGTGTGTGATACCATCATCAGCACCCAAACACACACACACACATACACACCATCACTATCATCATCATTATCATCAGCAGCAACAGTAGCTGTCTTTTCACAATTGGTTTTATTTTATATTTAGTGTTTATGTGTAGGGATATAGTATGGGTGGGTGGGTGTAGGGATAGGATAGTATAGGATGGGTGGGTGGGTGGATAATCATAGCTCAGTTATCTTATATCTTAGATAAGTTTATATACAGTGTTTTTCTTACTTATCTTTATCACAAAAAAATGTTATTACTCTAACATTAACACATTAATAGCTAAACTGCTTGTTTGAATTGATTGTTTGTTTTTTTTGGTGTTTTTTTATATAAAGATATTTATTGTTTGCCTATCACTTAAATATATTGCTTAGATATATATAATATATTGATATATATATATATATATATATATATATATATATATATATTATATATTGATATAGATATATATGACAATACGGTAGTAAATGTAGTAATAAATTTTCGTTTAAAAAGTTTAAAAAAATTTTTTTTTAAATATCAAAAAGTTAGTAAAAGATAAGTTAAAACTATAAATTATTTGTTAACTAAAATAAAAATCTTTTTGTTTTTTTTATTTTGGGACCAATCGGTTAACAAATAGATTGCAGCAAAATATATAATATATATTAAAAAAAAAAAAAATTGTTTCATTAAACATTGTAGTAGACAATGATTATCAAATATATGGTATATAATTAAAAATAATAATATTAAATAATTTATATAAATATAGCAATATTTTTTATTATTAACTAAAACTATATATATAAATATTATTTATCTAACTAATACTAGTATATATATAGATATAAATATTAATTTATATGATACTAATAAAAAATGTTAACTTATCATAAATAGATAATATTAGATTAAATAATTAATTAATGGTATTTCTATATCTACTAACAATAACTATTGATGGTATAATTTAATTTATTATAATAAAAATTAATAATAAATTAGATTAATTAATGGGTAATATTTTTTTTTGTAGTTAAATAGGATACAACACACAAAAAACAACAACAACGATAACAAACATCTATAACTAACAAATAAGGTATAATATAAACTTAACATTTATATAATTTAATTTAATTTTTTGGCTATTTTTTTGTTGGTTGAGATAATTATTTTTATGATTGAAGAGAGAGAGAGAGAGAGAGAGAGAGAGAGAGACAGAAAGAGAGACATAAAGAGAGTCATAAAGAGAGACATAAAGAGAGACATAAAGAGAGAGACATAAAGAGAGAGACAGAAAGAGAGACAGAAAGAGAGACAGAAAGAGAGACAGAAAGAGAGACAGAAAGAGAGACAGAAAGAGAGACAGAAAGAGAGAAAGAGAGACAGAAAGAGAGACATAAAGAGAGACATAAAGAGAGACAGAAGGAGAGGCATAAAGAGAGACAGAAAGAGAGACAGAAAGAGAGACAGAAAGAGAGACAGAAAGAGAGACAGAAAGAGAGACAGAAAGAGAGACAGAAAGAGAGACAGAAAGAGAGACAGAGAGAGATAGTGGACATACCATCGGAGTTGCGTTTGGAAGCATCGGATATATCTTTGGCTACACTGTCTTCACTGAGACTGCCGGGCATTCGGGAGCCGTCGTCACGATTATGGCGTCCGTTGGCCGACGACGTACCGAATCGGTTGCGAGTTAGCGGCGAATGAGTGGTCGACTTATGCCGGCGTATGGTTGAGAAGCGGCTAACAAACGATGTGTTATGTTTGAAGCTATCGTTGTTTTGTTGTTGAAAAAAATTATAATTAGTTTTTGTAAAAAAAAAATATTTTTAATAAAAGTAAAAGCTATAAGAATTTTAAATATTATTTTAATAAAAAAATATTATCAATAAAATTAGTAAATTTTATTTTGTTTGCGGATATAATACCATATATTATAGTATATATCGTTTATATTTATACTGTTATTAGATGTAATAAATATAAATAACTAAATAAATAAATAAATATGCAAAAAATATTAATATTATATATATATTGTGACCTATTTATGGCCTCTAAATATATATATATATATATATATATTTATCAACAAAAAAAACTTATATCCAAATTTATTGTTTGTGGCTAAAGTTGTTGTGAATAATTTATTACTTATTATTTATATATATCAGGATTTCCTATAATAATAATCATATTATATATATATATTTATATTATATATAAATATATTATACTTTAAGTATGCACTTAGATTTATTTTGTCATCATTGTGTGTGTGTATGATTTGATTTTATTTATCCAAAATATATATATATATATATATATATATATATATATATAAGTGATCTTGCATATTTATACAAGTATTAAATTATAAATACAAATAGATAAATAACAAAAAAAAATAAATTAAGATTTTTTGATATATATTTTTTTATATAAAATCAATTTATTATTTCTATCAATATTTATTGACAATATATATATATATCATATATAATTGATTGATAATATTATTGATTTTATATAATTATATTTTTTGTTGTTGATTTGTGTTTAAACAATTGACAATATAATATACAAGTATTATTATTATTACATTTGATATTGTATTATCAATTATTTAGTGATTAAATTGGGTGTCAATTGAAATGTGATTTTCGTGATGTGTCCACAATTGATGCGATTAAATGACACAATAATTATAATTTTTGTGATAAGCAGTGCATTTAGTTTTGATAGTTAAGTGATAAGCAAATATAAAACACATTTTATATATTATATATACAGTACTGTAAATTTGTTTAAACATGTTTAATGTATTACGAGTTTAAGTGATTATCATTTTTATTTTAGATAATAAACTTTAATGATATTTTTTTTTAAAAATTTAGTGATATTTATTAAAAAAAGTTGTTATTCATAAATAAATAAATATCATATATATATATATATATATAATAATAAAAAAAACTAGTGATTTATGAATATATGATTTTGTTGTGTACTAAAAATTTTGTCGTAAATAAATATTTGTATTACTATTTATTTATATATTTATATATATATATATTATTGTATATATATACACATATAAAAAACATATCAATATTTATTGCTTATGTTCAACATTTAATCTCATTATTATACAGTAATCTCAAAATAAATTATATATTATATAGTAATATATATATAATAATAATAATATGCAAAAAAATCTATATTGAAACTAACAAACAAACAAAATTCAATTTTATAGTTGATTTTTTTGTTGTTGTTTTGTTTATGAATTATAAATCACTAACAAAAATAATAATAATAAACATTTTTTTCCAATAGTGTACAGTATTATTAATATTAGTTTTTATTTTAATAAATAAATTATATCCAATAAATTCAATATAACTGCAATATTTTTTATTTGTTTGTATTTAATATCTAATATTAAATTTAATCTAATAAATGTGTTTTACTACTACTAGTAGTAGTAGTATTGCAAAAATTTAAATTATTCAAAATAAAACTAATAATAATTTAATGTAAAATATATGTATCATTTATTAAAAACTAATTACTTTACTGAATCTATATATATAAATCAAATTTACACATCAAATAGCAATAGTATGTAAATTATATATTATAGTGTATATAAAAATAAACAAAATTAGCTTTTTATTGCATTTAAATTTACTAAAACAGATTTACTAATAGTAATACCCAAAAAAAAATCATTGATTAGTATCAGTATTATTATTGTCGGAAATTAATAGCTAATCCCAAAATAAAATAAAATACAATATAATACTCTCTAGTATATGTATACTATGATTATTAGCAATAGATTTTTGTTGTGTTTTAATTATTTATTTATTGATAACAACAACAAAAAATATAAATTTATTTAGTTATCCCAACTATACTACAGTATTGTATTATTATTATTATTCTCTGTCTATGAATCCTAGTCTACAGTATAGGAGTCTATGATATACTAGTAGTATATCATCAATGATAATGTATTAACAAACACTACATATAAAAAAAAAATATATATATATTTGTTTATACAGTATATTATTATTATTATTCTCTGTCTATGAATCCTAGTCTACAGTATAGAGTCTATGATATACTAGTAGTATATAATCAATGATAATGTGTTAACAAACACTACATATAAAATATATATATATATATATATATATATATATTTGTTTATACAGTATATTACTATTATTATTATTACTTACAGTGCAACGGCTGAGCTTTGAGGTAAATCCAGTTTATCCCTACTTTTAAATGTTTGAGTGAATGAGCCGGACGTATAGCTATGTGATGGTGTAGTTGTGTTTTGGTGTAGTTGTGTTTTATTTTTTTTTTTTTAATTTTGTATGTGAATCGATTGATAACATACATAAGCAGTTTTGGTAGGCATATATATATATATATATATAGATATACACGTGTTTTAACAGGGTGTCCAATACAAACATATTTGATACAACATTTTGGATAGTAGGCACACATATAGATTTGCAGTGATTATTATTATTATTATTTAATTATTTCAAAAAAAGCGAGTGAGTGGGTGAGTAAGTATAAGTAATTCAGTGTATTGTGTGAGTCAGTGAATAAGTGGGTGAGTGAGTAGTCAGCCGAGAGAGAGTGGGTGAGTGAAAGAAATATTAAAAAAAAGAGATTATTTTTTTTAATAAATATTAATATATTGAATATAATAGTTATATTATCATATAATATGTGGTATTTAATAATTATTGTTTTCCTATCATTGATTAAACTTATTTTAATCTTATTAATAATAATTATATTGAATAAAATGCTATAATCTTTTTAATTTAATGGTTATAAATATATTATATACATGATTAAACTATTATTATAATTATTTTAATTAATTAATTACTACCCTGCTAAAAGTAATCAGACTAATAGCATCAGGCATTTAAATTAAAAAAAATATTAGACTAATGTTTGTTTTATTTTTGGTTTTTACATTAAAACATTTTGTATATTAAATTTAATTAAAATAGATTAGGATTTAATAAAAATAAACTAATATATAAAGTATTTGATTATACCATATATTAATATTAATATTATTATTATATATATACAGTACTATTATTATAGATAACAATAATAAATCTATTTATTATAAATTTATTAAGTCATATATGATTATTATAGATAGCATCTAATAAGTCATAATAAAAATAAATTAACTAAAAATTTTTAGTAAATATTTTTCGTAAATGTCAACTTGGCTTAGGTTTAGTAACTACTGTATCTGATTAGCAAATAGTTAATACTGTCTCAATATAATAATATAAATAGATTTTTCAACTATAATACCTAATAACATATTAATAGATAACAAAAAAAATTATTTTTGAAATTAAGAGATTTTAATAATGTTTTGTTAATCAGACGGCAATATTGTTAATAACGATTAGTATTATTAAAGTATTAAATAATTTTTTTTGAATGCATATAGTGTTTAGGGTTTGTTTAAAAAAAATCTCATTTAAAAAATAAATAGTAAATATGTTAACCTAACAACAAAAATATTTTTTTAAAAACTTTCTAATAGAAACTTTCTAAACTTTAATTCCTCAAATTAGACACATATATAACACACACACACATATGTTTTATGTATCAATTAGTTGGCGAAAAAAATTTTCTCAACAAACAAAAAATATTACTAAAATAGTTACTAAAAATCTTATTGAGTTGTTTTTCAAACATAATTACTATTATATTTTGAGATTTTTTATATAACCCAAAAAAACTCCGTTAGGGGTGGGTTAGGGGGGATAGTTATGGGTGGATTAGGGCGATAGTTAGGAGTTGGTTAGGGGGATAGTTATGGGTGGATTAGGGCGATAGTTAGGGGTGGATTAAGGAGATAGTTAAGGGTTGGTTAGGGGGATAGTTAGGGGTGGATTAGGGAGATAGTTAGGGGTTGGTTAGGGCGATAGTTAGGGGTGAGTTAGGGCGATAGTTAGGGGTGGGTTAGGGCGATAGTTAGGGGGATAGTTAGGGGGATAGTTAGGGATGGGTTAGGGGGTAGTCTAGTTATTGGCCTGTTGTATGCATGTATACATATTTTTTCTGTGTGAATATACTGGTGATTGATTGATTTATAGTGATAGTAATAGATACATACGCTGGTGGACTGGGCAATGGGACCTGGTGAATTTTCCAAGTGGCCACCGACATTGAGTTTTCATCGGCAGCATAACAGCGCCACAGGCTCTGGATGAGTGTGGCGGCCGGTACTCGGCGTCGGATCATATGTTTCTGGCGCTGTTGTTGCTGTACTTTCAGTGCAAACCCTGAACCCAGTATACCCTGGATGGTGGGTGGGGGAGATGATGGGATAGGGGGGTTATTTATGAAAACATACCAGGGGTATATTATTTTTTTTATATATAAACATATATACTTACAGCTGGTAATGCAAAAAATGAGATGCCTAATAGTGCACAAAAAGCTGCTATTATTTTTCCCGTCCACTATATATATAGATTTATTGGATGACCAGGGTGGTGGTAATTTATTTAATTAAAATAATTAAAATAGTTATAATTAATTAATTTAGTAATTAACATAATAATAGTAATAATGGGTACTTACAGTGCTGGGAAATATATCTCCATAACCCACTGTACATAAGGTTATCTATTAGTTGTTATGTTTGTTATACCAGTATATCCATTGTCCATAACATACATGTTTAACAATGAAATATATAAAAAATAAAATAAATAAATTAGTAATAATTAATTTGATTTTGTTTGTTATAGATTTATTATTATTGTTATATAAGATAATATTGAAACAAATAAAACAAAAACATTTTATCAATTATCAAATTATTGGTATTATTATTATTATTATTATTAAGAATATAACAATTTATTGTTTTTTAATAAAAATATTTATTGATTTTTTTTTTGGTTGGTTTCTATTCTAATATAAAAATTTTTTATTTAATATTTAATAAATAAATAGAAATATTTTTTTGTTGTTTTGTTGGATATCTTTTTTTCTAGATTTATAGTATCATATATTATATAAGTAAAAGTAATATATAAATGTAATATTTAATGTTATTTTCAATATGTATTTTGTTTGAATCTATTTTGATTTAATAAATAAAAAATTTTATTTCCAATTCTCTCTCTCTCTCTCTCTCTCTCTCTCTCTATCGATAAATCTCTAAGCAATTTAGTTTTTTCCTATTTATATATATATATATCTTTATATAAATATATATATATATATATTGAGATAAATTATATTTAATGTTTTCTACACTATATTATAATAATAATACTAAATAATAGTAGTCACAACAACAACATGCATTAAGTTAATATAATTATTTTTATATATATATTATATAATAAAATCTTTATAGTAAATTAATAGAGTGATGGCATTTATATTTATATATATATATATATGGGAGATATGGGAACTAGAAATAGGATTTTTATCTATTAATTATTGAATACATGTATAATTCAATTTACTAATCAATTTACTAAATATTAATAAATACAGTACAACTACTAGTTAGTCAATTATATATCAATTTATAAATATTAACTATATATACTGTATATATCCATTATTTATGATAAATTACTTAAATATACTGTACACTAATTTAACGATAGATTTCAATAATTTATATAAATAAAATGTTAATATAATAAAATATATATATATATAAAAAGTTTAAATAGCAAAATAAAAACAATCAATCAATTAATTGAAATCCTACAAATAAAAAATATTTTTAAAAAAACATTACTTTATAGATAATGTCTTAAATAATAATAATAATAATCTAAAATTTTCTATACTATTATTGTACTTAATATAATTACTAATAAAATTTATATATTGTTAATAGATTTGTTGTCTTTAAATACATTGATGATAATTGACAATTTAAAAAAATTAATTAAAAAATAAATTAAATTTTATAATTAAATTTTTAATAATAATAAAAACAATAATAATCTAAAATATTCTATACTATTATTCTACTTAATATAACTACTAATAAAATTTATATCATATATTGTTAATACAATTTTTTGTCTTTAAATTTGTTATGATAATAGAAAATTAAAAAAAAATAATTTAAAAAATAAATAAAATTTTATAATAATAATAATAATAATCTAAAATATTCTATACTATTATTCTAACTTAATATAACTACTAATAAAATTTATATCATATATTGTTAATACATTTTTTGTTGTTATCTTTAAATAGATTGATGATAATTGACATTAATTTTTAATTAAATTAATTAATTAATTAATTAATTAATAATAGTTAATAATAATTAGTAGTAAATACAGACCACTCCCCACCACAAAGCGTCGGCAAAGCTCTCAAATTTAGTTTCTTCGACATCTTTTTCGACCAAATAAACCAAAAACGATGAAAATATTAACCCAAGGAAGCCTATGTATACTGTTGTTATCAGTTCCTGAGGAATAATAATAATAATAATGATTATTATTATCATCAATTGGTATATCCATTGGTATATCCATTGGTATATCCATTGGTATATACATTGGTATATCCATTGGTATATCCATTGGTATATCCATTGGTATATACATTGGTATATCCATTGGTATATCCATTGGTATATCCATTGGTATATCCATTGGTATATCCATTGGTATATCCATTGGTATATCCATTGGTATATCCATTGGTATATCCATTGGTATATCCATTGGTATATCCATTGGTATATCCATTGGTATATCCATTGGTATATCCATTGGTATATCCATTGGTATATCCATTGGTATATCCATTGGTATATCCATTGGTATATCCATTGGTATATCCATTGGTATATCCATTGGTATATCCATTGGTATATCCATTGGTATATCCATTGGTATATCCATTGGATTTGATAATATGATAAATAATAACAAAATAAAATATTTATTTTTTTATCATTAAGTTATATATATATACAGTATATAGTATATAATATTATATATATATATATTAATAATTTTTAAAAATTAATTTTATGATATTTATTTTACCTGTCGATGTGCATAGACAACAGAACCTATTGGATGTGATGATAATTAACCACCGATGATGATGATGATGATGATGACCACAATTGATGAAAATGTGTGATAATAATAATAATTTTAAAAAAAACATTTAAATTTACATTAAACTTATAAATTAATTCTAGTTATATATCTGTTAATTAAATTAAATTTTTTTTAATAGAAACTATAGATTATTATTATTTTATGATTGTAATAATAATAACATTTTGTATATAACTAGTGATAATACATAATATATTGTGATTAAAAGTTATGTAAACTATATAATTATTTAACCAACAAAAAAATATCATAATTTAAACTTTTTTTTCAATAATCATCACAAAAAAATTGTGTAATAATAGTAATAGTTTTATAGTAAATTTGTGCATGATAAAAGTTTTATGATTAGTTTATATGTGTGTTTTTAATAATAATAATAACATTTAGTAATAATTTTTTTTAGTAAAAAATATTCAATAGTTTTATTTTATTTTTAAAAAAATAAAAATACTAAATATCTATATTATCATTAGCTAATATGTTAAACTCTACCAACTAAATAGTATATTAATTATTTTGAGTATATTTGTTATGGGGGATGGGGTGTGTGTGTGGGGGACAAAAATATTCAATATTTTTATTTTTTTTAAAAAATAAAAATACTAAATATCTATTATCAGTAGCTCTATGTTTAACTCTACTACTAAATAGTATATTAATTATTTTGGGTATATTTGTTAAGGGGATGGGACGTAGTGGGGGATGGGGTGTGTGTGTGTGTGTGTGTTTGGGTACATACCTAACAATTTCCAGGTACCGCCTCTCCTATCCATACGAACCATACGAAGAATTTGGAAGAACCGAAGTCCACGAAGAGCTGATGCGGCAAATACTTGACCCGAACTGCCCATCGATAAGACAACTATCGACGCAATGATTACTATTACATCTAAAAAACATACAAAAAGTGATCACATATTTAAAAAATACAAAAAAATATTTGTTTGTTTGTTATCAAAATTTATTAAAAAAAATACAAAAATGATTTATTAATAACCAGTAAATATATATATATTGATATATTATATACTAATTGATTATTAGTTCACTCTTTCTCTCTCATTAAATATACATTAAATGTATTTAATTTTTCTGAATATTATAAACTAATTTAGAAATATTTTTGTTGTTGTTATTGAAAAAAAAACTAATATATATTTATAGTATTATCAAGTTTACTAACTAATGGTTTATATTATATATATATATATATATATCATATAAACTATAAATATTATTTAGAAAATGATATAAAAAAATATTAATAATAATACTAAAAAAAGTTTGTGATGTTTGCATAAAAAACATATATACATATATAAAATACAGTATACTCTATATATATATATATATATATATATATGATAATATCCAGCATCATATCTATGGTCCAGTTTCCCATTTCCCGCATCAACAACAACAACAAAATAGTAAATATATCTATAAATTTTTATTTTTTATTTTTTAAAACATAAATAAATAGCACACATAGTTTGATATATTACTGTATATATATATATACAGTCTATCCTACTGTAATATATTGTAATAATATTAAATTTACTAATAATAATGATTATGATGATGCTTATTACACTTTTAACATTTATAAAATAAATTTTTATTTTGTTTGTTTGTTTAAATCGGGTAAATGTTATTAAGAAAAAGTTATTATTGGTGTAAATATATTTAACATTAGCATTTTTATCAACAACAACAACAACATTACTAATAATAATAATAATATTATTATTATTATTATCAGGAAATAAATAATGAATAAATTTTTTTTTTCAGTGAAGATCCTGTTGTTCATGAGTTTCAACAAATTTATTAACAAATTATTATTATTATCTATTAAATTATGAAATTTTTGGACCAAAAATACTATACTAACCAACTAAACTGTATGTGTTTAATATTTTGGATGAAAAATAAATTTATAATTTAATAGATTATAATTATATACTCTATATATATATATATATATGTTTAGTTTTTTTTCGGGACTCTAGTGTATCCATAATATAATTTCACATATAATGAGATACACATTAAAAAAAAATTAAATTATATTTTGTGTATGTATTTTTCAGTTAATATTTTTTGATTAAACCCAATAGTAATCAAAATAGTAATTAAACATTATATATATATACTGTATATATATATACTGTATATATATATTTCAAACATTATAATCAACAACAAAAAAATAAGTTTTATTTTAGTATATATCTCACTCATAAATTAAGTTAATGTTAAACAAAAAACTTTACTATACTATAAAAAAAATTATTTTAACTAATAATAATAATAATAATAATAATAACAAAAATTCTGATTAGATTTCAGAAACATTTTATTTGCGAAAAAAAAAATTTATTTATTTTTAAAAAAATTTCTATAAACACTACTGTATATCTATACAACTATTATAGTATTTTATTTTATTTGATTAAATAAACAAAAAAAAATATTTTAATAAATAATAATAATAATAGTTACCGATAACGCAAAATGGACTCCTGAGGAACCTTAACCTACCGACCCATCCCTGATATCTTGAACGACATCCCGCAGACCACATCCGGAAGAAAAATTCAAAAGCAAACCACACAACCATTACTATCTCCTGTTGTTTGGTTATAATAATAATAATAATAATAATAAAATATATTAAAATCTTTTTTTTTTGTTGTTTATCATATAATACTAGTGTTGTTTGAATTGATATCTATTTATTTTATTTTAATTTATTTTAATTTATTTAATTATTACAAACCATAACGTATAGTATGGCTGAAGCTGTTGTCTCATACTCTTTGATGGTCGAGAAGACTGTAAGGACCAGACAGGCAAAGACCATACAAAACCTAATGATAATAAATAAAACAATTAATTAATTAAATAATAAAAAATATTAAATAAAAAAATATTTAAAGAAATAAAAGATAAAAAATTTTAAAAATGTATAGTTAAATGAATATTTTTTTGTTTGATTGATTGAATTATCATGAATTTTCCTCTTTTTAAAAAAAAAATAAAATAAATATATTTTTATAAATGTATTTTTACTTTTTTTTAATATATATATATATATTTGTTAATATTAATGATATTCAACGAAATTGTTATAATTTTACTTTTTTTTGTTGCTGTTATTAAATAAAATCTTTTACTAGTTATATATATATTAATATATGTAGAGTATTAAAATTATATAATAATAAAAATAATATTTAGGCAATCATTTAGGGATAAACATTAAAATTTTATATCATTTAATTATATGCAAAATAATTAGTTATATTTTTTAATGATAACTATTGATTCTCTAATACTTGTAATAACCTAGTATTCAAACATATGTCAATTAACGTAATTATGTTATATATTATTATTAAAATATATATATATATATATATGTATATAAATATAATATAATATAATATATATTTATAATAATTATTTTTTATATTTAACTTTTAACATTTTGTTACTACAGTTTTATTAATATTATTAAGTTTTGACATATTATTGTAAATACTCTCTCTCTCTCTCTCTCTCTCTCTCTCTCTCTCTCTATATATATATATATATATATATATATATATATATATATATATATATATATATAAAATAATTTTTCAACAATTTTAGTTTAAAATATAAAATTTTAATGAACTAAAAATTTTGTTGTATAAATATATAGTTATATTTTGATAATATGATAATAAGGTAGCTTAAATCAATTTTATTTTTATTTTTTAAAAAACTAGCATCATAATTAATAATAGCCTAAAAATAAATGATAATTATTATTATTATTATGTTTAAAATTTTGTACTTTATCAAATTACACATAATAATTATTTATAAAAAAAAACAAAATTTCCATCAAATTGTTTACATATTTAAATACTCTCTAATTTAAAACTTTAAAAATGTTATTTACTTTGATAATTATAATTTATTTACTAATATGCAAAATTTAAAAATAAAAATTAGTAATTAGTTTTTAAATAAAAAGCATAATGTTTGATTTAAATTTTATGTATGCAAAATAATTATTATATTGTTTTTTTTATAGTAACTAATAGTTTTTTGAGAGATTAATTATGTCAATAATTTCAAAATATATTTATTAATTAATGTAAATTATTATTCATCAGTGTTTAATTGAGATAATAGAAAATGTATTTAATATATATATATATATATATAATACTAAAATATTATAAAATACTAGTATTTATCATTAATTTTGTTTTCACATTAAATTAGTTAATAATAATATTTACAAATATTGTACTGAATATCTTGATTTTGATAATTGAATTTTTTTTTTAATAATTATTATTATATCAATAATTATTTATTTGTTTTCCTAGAATTTAATCAAAATATTTATGTGAAAAATAATATTTATATGTTAATATATATTTAATTAATTTTTTATAATATTTGTATTAGTTATACTACTACTATATATATATGTATAGTACTATACATTGTTTAACATATATGATATATTAATCATATATTAATTATTTACTTTTTCATAACTACTATAATTTATATATAGTTATGACAACTATTTGTACAGTGATTTAAAATATTTATTAAAAAAAATTATTTCATCAAACTAAATCATTGATGCAAAAATTATTTCAAATTTTTATCAAATTAACATTATTATTATTATTATTATTATTATTATTATTATTATTATTATTATTATTATAATACAATTTTATATCAACATTATTATTATAATTTTTTATCATAAAAATAATAAAAAGATAGATTGAATTATTTCAAACATTTGAAAAATTTAATTAAAAAAATTTTTTTTATATATAAAAAATATCAATTCTAGAAAATATTTTACATTTATAAAATCAATATATACTATATACTATATATATATATATATTTGTTTAATTGAAGATCTAAATTATAATTATTTATTATCAAATACCACAACAACAACAACAACAACAACAACAAAATTAGACACAAAAAACCCCAATTAAAAAATTCCCGATAAAATCAATGAATTACCCGAAATTTTAAACCAATACAAACATTGTGTTAATTATTTTTTTGTTTGTTTGTTGGTTGGTTGAGATTATCATACAATGTGTTTATATATATATATATATATATAATACTCACACAAATAAATGATAAATAAGCGAAAAAAAACCGTTAGGTCTTTCAAGAAAATTATTGACTAGAAATTGATATTTTCGGCGCCTGGAGTCACGGGCGGACATATGCCGGCGCTTATGGCCGACAACTGGTTTGCCTAATAAACTCAATCGTGATTTTTCTTCCGCCACTACTATTTCACTACTATTAGTAGTATTATCGGCGGCGGCGGCGGCGACTAAACAAGTTTTGACATTGTTTTTCAAATGCCAGTTCAACCGATACGGATGTCCACCACCGCTACCACCACTAGACCCACTACTACCGCCAGCACCTCCTCTACGAGCACTGATAGGATGACTAGTGGTGGCGGCGGTGGTGGTGGTGGACAACACCGACAACGACTCGTGCTGTTGTTGTTGGGCCTCAATCTCATAGACAGCACAACGAGTGGCCGATTGTTGCCAATTGTTATTTGGCTGTCGGTGTCGTTGGTGTTGTTGTTGTTGGTGTCGGTGTTGTTGTCCGTAATACAAGTTAAACAAGTTTTGCCTATTAATGTGTTGTTTTTCTTGTTGTTGTTGTTTAACAATAGTATCAATTTGTTGGCCACTATTATCATTATCATCAGTACTATGTGTGACCACATTGAACGGTTCACTACTACTACTAGTAATAGTATTGTTATTATCATTATTAGTATTAATATTATTATTACTAGTAGTAGTTGTATTATTATTATTATTAATTGTTGTTGTATTAACCGATTGATAGGGACAACCACTTGATTGTGTTTGAAATAGATGGTCGGCGGCAATGGTGGCCATCAATATATTAATAAACTATTGTCGATATAATAATTATAATCCATTAGTTTTATAATGATGTCTACTGTATAGTATACTAACAATAATTAAGATAACGATAATAATGATGATAAATGTTTATAATATATATATATATATATATATATATATATATATAATTTGATATTATTATTATTATTAATAATTTAATTTTATATGATATGGATATATCATGATATTATTATTTTTATTGTAGATTATTATAATGATGGTAATAATGTTATAACTTTTTTTTTAGATATATATATATATATATATATATAACAATATTTAACTAGTTTGACACTTATGTAAAAAACTTGTGTAAACTTAAAATTAATAGTAATATTATAAATAAATATATTTTACAAAAAAAAACTAATTATTACATAATTATTAAAATGTTACTTTATTATTTAAAAAAAATTGTTACATTGTTAATAGTTATTAATATTATTATTATTATTTAGTGAATCAAATAACATAAAGTTATTTATTATTATTATTATATATAAATATATTAATAATATAAAGAGTTTACAATTTATTTCACCAAACATTATATATTAAGGATTTATAATAACATTAATAAATATTAAGAATATTTATTTGCAATTATACAGAATATTCTTTATATATATATATATATATATATGATATGACAGTATATGACAAACATTTAGTTACTGTATATTTATTTTTTTTAAAAAAACATATAAAGTTATATATCTCAATAAATAGTAAATTTTTAAAAAACGATTTTTATATCAGTTTACAATTGAAATGATGTTATTTATTGATATATAAATTTATATATATATATATATATATATATATATATACAATAGTATAAAAATTTCACTGATCATATAGAGACACCAGGGTTATTATTATATCTGGTATTAAATTTAAATAATAATAATAAATGCTTTTTTTTCATTACTGTATCCCTCTATCTCTATCACTCACTCTCTCTACATCCCTGTGCCGTTAATATATAAAGATTGTCAATCACTAACACCAGAGAAACACCAGAATCACTGTAGGTATGTATGTGTGTGAGTGTGTATATGTAATACTAATAACTACACACTACTACTACTACTACTACTACTATAATACTAACTAACTAACTATAAAAAGGGATACACCCTATGCCTAATAGTAGAGCCAATTGGCGATGCAATAGACATATGTGTATTGTATTATATATATATTGCAATATAATAATAATAATAATAATAATCACCACCGGGTCTATCATATACTGTTTATATACATGTGTAGAGAATACATACTGTATATACAGTTATTATATATATATATATATATATATATATATATATATACTGTATATATATATGTATTTTTTTGATTTTATTATTATATTGTTTTTATTTAATGTCCACATGAATTTGTTGTATATATTTTTTGCAACTATAGTCTAATATTATTTATATATTATATATAAATCTTAAACTAAATGCTAAATGATTTGATGGACAGAGAGAGAGAGAGAGAATAAAATCCGCAATTTTTTATATTTAATACACAAAGCCTTTAGTCATACATATATTGTTGATGTCGTGTAAGTTTGAGATTTGCTTTTATATATATCATTATATATATACTATACTTTAATTTACTTTTTATATGGTTGTTGTTGTGTTGTTGTGCTGTTAGACTCACTTTCCTATTAAATTTATATCTAACATAACATTTACAGTCAATGCTTATCCAATACAGACCCAACAGTGTCTGTGGGACTAAACTTATTGACTGAATGACTGACTGACTGACTGACTAACTATACACACGATTACAGAATATTCTTTAGAGAATATTCTTAAATAAATATATGAAATGCAATTTCTCAATACATTTATATACTGTATATATATATACTGTATTATATATACATATATATATATATACTGTATTATATATACATATATATACATATATACTGTATAAATGTATTAATTGAGTGACTTTTTTTGTGTATTGCATTTGCCGCTCGAAACAAATAATATTAATAAAATAATATATATATATAAATCAACGAAACATATAGATAGACAACAACAAAAATCGCTACTAATTTTAACAACAAAAAAAACAATACCAATAAATTATATTTTACTGTATTATTATTTTTTTTTGTTGCAATTTATTTATTTATTAGTATATATATATATATATATTATTTTCTATTTTATACCCATTTCCTTTAATTCATAAATATATTATATATATATAAATACAATAAAAATATACTGTATATATATATACAGTATATTTTTATTGCCAAATAAATGTATTATAAAAAAAATTATTTTCCCATCTAATTAAATTTAACTCTACATATAATGTGAAAATAATAATAATAATAACATTTTTTTTTAAAAAAACAGTATTACAGTACACGTAATATAAAAAAAAGGTAATAAATATTATATATTTATATACAGGTATATACTATATATATATAAATTATAAATTGTATGAAACATGTTTTTATTTTTTTTTTTAAAAATGTAGCATGTAGCATTTATGCATTTACAACAACAACAAATAATATATTTGTAATTTTGTATATTAATTACCTATTTATAATTTCAAACAAAATTTACATAGTTGTTTTATATTATAATATTAGTTAAATTTAATGTATAAATGGAAATAATATATTAAAAATATTATATATATATAAATGTATAATTTAAATTTTATCAAAATATTTTAGATTAATTTACTACTATTACTACTATATTATTATTAAACTAAACTAAATCAATTTAATTCAACATTTTATATTGTAAAAATAATTGATTGAAAATTTTAATTATATATAAATTATTTATAAACTTTTTGTTTAAGGTATTGGTGCTGAACTCTTGTGGTTATAATAACTAAATATATATATATATATATATATTGTACTAAAACATTGAATCAAATATATATATATATATAGAAATATTTTCAGTATTAAGTCATTGATTATAATGATAACAAATTTTCCTTAAGTATTATTATTATTATAGAAATAAATTTTAAAAACAATTTTAGCTATTAATGATAAAAACTTGACTATAATATTATAAATAAATATTACTCAAAATAAATACTGTATGTAATTAACAAACAAATAAATAAACAAAACAAAAAAAGTTAATCTATAATTTTCTTTTAATAATTTAATTTATGATATTTATATTAAAAATTATTTATTTAAGTTATATATACAATATATATAATATATATGATTAATAAATTATGTTGCTCTGGGAAAAACAAACTTACTATAACTTACTAATAGTAATAATATTATTATTATTAATTTAGTTTTATTTTTTTTTTGATTATCATAAATCTTTTCAATAATTATGGTTACATTTTACAAACCAAAATAGAAAAACATAAAAATAATAATAATATTTCAATAGTTATAAATAGTAAATACCATATTATCCCTTATATATATATATATATATATAATGTGTGTGTGTGTAATAGTATTTACTATCAAAATAGTCTTATATATATATATATATATAAGTTAAGGAAAACCATATGTTTATATATATATATATATATATATATAAATATATTTAAATACATACTGTAAATGTATGTATAGTACCCCACAAAAAAAAACTTTTAAACAGATTTTTGTTTCCCCCAACAAAATAATAATAATCCCAACAAACAAACCAAACAAACAGACAAAAAAAATTATTGAAATATTTTTTTGCTTTTCAAAAATAGATGGGAATTACATAGGTCTATACATATTTATAAATTTTTTTATATATATATATATATACTTTTATAATATATATATATATTTATATATATATTTTGGACTCACATTGATAAGTGATATAAAACGGCAGTACAACCTCGGGGTCGTTCAAGAAAATTATATAAATGACTTTGAATTAATCGATATCTTTGATTTTTATGCTGATAACAATGGTGTCTATAGTTTAGGGGACGGCCTAACAAACTTAGTCTCTGGTGTTGCGATCGTCGACAGGCAGCGAACCGGGAGCTCATCTGCTGCGGTGGTGTCGGCGACTGTGGCCGAGTATGTGATGTGGATGTCTGAGAGTCGTCCGATACTATATCACTGTCTATTAGACTTAGCCGTTGTTGGTGTTGACCACTACTACTAAAGCCATTGTTATCGATATGGTTGCTATCGATTGGCCGATCGTATCGTCTATTGATTTCAATGTGCGAAAAGTCAACCTTTCGTTGTTTGGCTGTCTCGCCGACACCGACACTGACACCGACACCGGTAGCCATACCGCCAGCAGCGGTGGCAACGGTGGTGTTGTTGTCATAATTGATGGCAACATTTCTACAGACAACAGCATTGGACGACAAGTCATCCATTTTATTATACGATACAAACATTTTTTTAAAAAACTATTATTTTTAGTTTTTTTGGTCAGATATTTAATCACATTTTTGTTTTAATCTTATTATTGTTATTATTATTAAAAAATATTAACTCAATAGAAATATATATATAAATCACATAATTGTATTAAACTTTTTTTTTATATTTTTTTATAGAGAAAAATATTAATAATATTCTATTTTTTTTAATACATAATAATATTGCATATTTGTATATCATATCAATATTTTCTCACTTTTTTTTGTTGAATATTATTAAAAAAAAATGTTTTATTAATTAGTAATTTATATATTTATATAATTTACTATTTGCACACTAAAAAATAATGATATAATTATAATTTACTGTTAATTTAGTTTATTTTTTTTTAAAAAAATTGTTTAATAACAATAAATCATAACAATTTATTTGTAGTTTTTAAAAAATATCTTCAATAATTAACAACAAAAATTAATGTAATTTACAGTATTATTGTTGAATTTTTTAATATATATATATATATATATATATATATATATATATATATATTTAAATAGGTATATAAAAAAAATATTATCACATTAATTCAGTATAATTTTAGTATAGTTTACTTTTTTTTAAAATATATATATTTATCATAAAAGTAATTATTTTAATAATTTATATTCAGTAATACTAATAAAATAAAAGTTTACTGAATTGTAAATTATTGTTAAATCAATTTTAATTTCCACAAATAATTTTTAAAAATATTATATATATTTTTTATAGTTGAGATATATCTCAATAATTATAATAACGATTAAAATAGACACACATTTGACTTAAATATAATTTTTTTTAAACATATATATAATGACATTAAAGTTAAAAGTTGAAATTGAATTATTTAGTACATTAGGTTTTTAATACATTATATTTTATTATATATATATATATAAAAAATAATTTTAATATTCAAAAATTGATGGTATAAAAAATTTTTGTGTTTTATCACCAACAACAACAAAAAAATAAAATTTAAATTTCACTAACAATTTGCATTATACACGGATAAGTTGACAACAAAACAATATATATATATATACTGTATATATATAAATATAAAAGATATATATATATATATATATATATATATATATAAAATATCCCGAAAATGTTTTATTCCGTATATAATAGTTATACTTTTTTTTTGGAAATGTTTTTGTTAATAAAATGCAGATTTGATTTTAAAAAAAAAAAATTTTAAGTTTTTTTTCATAAGATTAAGATTTTAATAAAAGTAGACACCTATATTACTTAAGGGTTTACTATACATAGATATATATATATATACAGTATATATATGCACATCACATACACATAAACACATACACATTGACAGTAGTAGACACATACACATAGACAACACACACACACACACATAGACAACACACACACACATATGACAAGCACTTAATGAAAATAGTACTGCACTTATAGTTAGAGTTAAAATACACGAGAATAACAAAAACAGATTTTTGTTTTGTTTTGTTTGGGCGCTTAATGTATAGAAAACAGTTAGAAATTGTGAAACACTATTTTTTTGTGGTACAGTTAGGTTAGGTATATCAGAGATCAGACAGTATTTAGAGAGGACACAGAGATTGTGCAGACAATCAAAAAACTATATATGTATGGATGTGATGTGTTTTGTCATTAACTTTAGTACACACATACAAACACATACAAACACATACAAACACATACACACACATACACACACATACAACACACATACATACACATACATACACACATACACACACACATACATATACACACACACATACATACACATACATACACATACATACACACACACATATATATACACATACACACACACATACATACAAATACATACACACATACAAACATACTCACATACACACATATACACATACATACACATACATACACATACATACACATACATACACATACATACACATACATACACATACATACACATACATACACATACATACACATACATACACATACATACACACACACACATACACATACATACACACACATACATACACATACATACACATACATACACATACATACACACACACACACATACACATACATACATAAGCCATAAACTTTAGCTTTTAAAATCTCATTCATATATTTATGCAACCAAAATCAAACCTTATACTACCTATTTTGGCTGAAAAACTATTGTGTTGGCAGAAAAATAAATTTGTTTTATTTAATATTGATGATATATATATATATACAGTATATAAGATATACAATAAATTGAATAATTTATATATAATTTATATATTGTATATACCACTTATTTTTATTTAAATATTTAGCTATTTTTGATATACAATACACACAATACAATATATGCAATTTTTTGTTTTATTTGTTTCTTAGAAATTTTCTATGTATATGTTTTTGCTAATATAATTTTTCAATAAGATATACATTTACAGTATATATATATATATATATACATGTATTAAGTATTAGATTTTGAATTTTTTGAAACTTTATTTCCATATATTTTCTTTGAATTACATGTATGTGTTGAGCCTATGATGCAATAATACTAAACAAGCTGTGACTAACAATTTAAATATATTTATATATATATATATATATATATAAATATATAGAGTATCACTTAAAATGACAATAAAACATTGCCAACAATTATATTGTACTTGAATTTTTAAATAATATAATAACTTAAATTATAAATAGGATTAACAAAAAAATTATTTTTATTAATAAAAATTTTATACTATACATATGTTTTATGTATTTATTTATAATTCTAGTTCAAATAACAATAAATCAATTTCAATAAATCAATTACAAATAAACTATATATACATATATACTGAATATTCCGGGTCATAATAAACATATAAATTATATATTTATATAATACTAGTAAGTATTTACTATGTATCTGAAAAATCTGGACCAAAGTTTTAATATTTTTTTTAATATTATAAATATTCATTATATAACAATAATTTTTTTTCTAAGTTATCTATGTGTGTGTGTGTATGTATGTATGTATGTATGTATGTATGTATGTATTTATGTGTGTGTATGTATTTGTGTGTATGTATATGTATTTGTGTGTATGTATATGTATTTGTGTGTATGTATGTGTGTGTATGTATATGTATGTATGTGTGTGTCTGTATGTGTGTGTATGTATGTGTGTGTATGTATGTATGTGTGTGTATGTATGTGTATGTATGTGTATGTATGTGTATGTATGTATATGTATGTATATGTATGTATGTATATGTATGTATGTATGTGTGTGTGTATGTATGTGTGTGTATGTATTTGTGTGTATGTATATGTGTGCATGTATGTATGTATTTATGTGTGTGTATGTATTTGTGTGTGTGTGTGTGTGTGTGTGTGTGTGTGTATGAGTGTACAGATTATTATGAATAGTGGACACGCATTGGCATGACTTTAATCATTTAGCTCTCTCTCTCTCTCTCTCTCTCTCTCTCTCTCTCTCTCTCTCTTTCTATCTGTCACTAACTCACTCACTATTTGCTAATCTTTAATAATGCAGTTTTTAAATAATTTATTTTTCTAGATATACATATATAATCCGTATATATATTTATAAATATAAATATAGATTTTTATTTTCATAGCCCTAGAAAAAATTAATTAACAACTTAACTTAATTTATCATAAATTTTTTTTTTGTTGAAAAATCGTGTTTTATATTTAAAAAAAAAATAATAATAATTTTATTTAAACATTATTTTTCATGTAAATTCATTGGTAATGATGATAGACTGGTAATCTATATTAATCGCAAATAGTATAATGATATAAAATTAAGTTATTTTTTATATATTTTACACTTAACTGACTCAATATAATATTTTTTATTTGAAATTTATAGTAAATTTCATTTAAAAAAAAGTTTTTTTTTGTCAATTTATTTCAATCATATATTGGGTTTTTTTTTAACTCTCTTTATATATGTATATACAGTATATATAGTATATATGTCTAAAAATCTTTAGGAAATAAACATAAAACTAAATATATATTATGTTTTAAACTAAAAAAATTTATATATAAATATTCTGGCGATTTATACAAAAATTTTATTGTTAAATATTATATATATATATATATTTATAACTTTCATAACTTACATGTATATTATTTTTCAGACATATATATATATTGAATATATGAAAATATGCATAAATATTATATTATTGGGTATACTGTATATACTGTAATATAGTTTGTTTTGTGATGACATATTTATTGTATTGAGAAAAAAAAAATTGATTTTTTTGTGTGTTGTTGTTGGTATTATTTGATGGCAAATAATATGTGAGCCCAACCCTATCAATATAGCGTAACGGTTGGTCCGCACCGACACTTACTATTAACTGTCAATACTATTTCGGACACTATTACCTTATCAAACACAAAAAAACACATACAAAACATATATATAAAAAAATAATAGCGAAAAAAATAAATTCATGTCAAATGTATTGTTAAACATAAATATTACAGAATATTCTTGTATATAGTTTACTATATATATATATATACAGTATATATAGTATACAATATATGATTGTTTTTATTGTATAGTTGCAAACATTCAAATATTCATTTTTTTATGGATATGTATATTAATATAGTATATAAATTGTATATAAATTATTATATATATATAAATGTTTTGAACTATATTTGTGTTAAACGCCATAATAATAATAATAATAACAATTATTGTAAATATTGAAATTGTTAGTATAGTATCTTTTTTTTTAAAAAAAATAACTAATAATGTTAATTAACTAATTAAACAAATTTTTTTCAAAAGTTTTTTTTAAAAATATATATATATATATATATATAAGTATTTAGTAATATA